ATGAAATTATGAATAATGTCTAATATTTTAGATATAGCTTTGCCATGATTGTATAAGGAATATTTGTAATATCCAACTTGAATAGTAGCACTTTCTTTACTTCAATTATGGGGGCAGTTGAGTATCTGTATATGTCACTCTATATTTTGGTTTTAAAGAAAGATTAGCAGATGTTCATAATAAAATAGCTAAAAACAGGAAATTCCACTCGTTTTTCTTTATATATAATACTATATTACTAGCAGGCATGATGACTCAACAGTTAAAGAGCTGGACTTGTCAGCTAGAAAGCTGACAGCCTGGGTTTGAGACACGAGCACCATGTAATGGGGTGAGCTCCTGTTTCTGCCCCAGTTCCTGCCTATCTAGCAGTTCTAAAACATGTAAATGAGAGTAGATTAATAGGCCACTTCAGTGGGAAATAGGTTCCATGCACCTTTGGCATATAGCCATGCTACCCACATGACCACAGAAAATGTCTTCAGGCAATGCTGGCTCCCCTGGCCATGAAACGGAAATGAGCACTCTACTCTAGATCAGGATTTTTCAACCTTTTCACAGATTGTACCACTTTAGGACATGACAATATTTGAGTACCACCAGTGCTTAGCAAGGTGTCAAAAAATTGATGACTAAAAAAGGGGGGGGGGATTTGGGGTTTTACTGATTATATTCATTTATTGTTATAGAAATAGCTAGCTTATAATATTATGGAAAAGTAAAAAGTTGAGGTTTGATGTTAATGCTTCCTTCTACTGCAACAGAGGAAATATGTTCTTTTTCCCTTCTTCCCCTCACTTTCCCCCCTTTTTCCTCCCCTCTGTGTCCTACTATTTGCTTTTGTATTTTTGTATTTTATTCTATAATCTAATAAAATATTACAAACTGTAGAAAAAAAAGAAAAAAGTACCAATTTTTGTTTCTTCGGTGGCTTTTCCTTTGCTGAATCAATTTCCCTTTGCACTGACAAATGTATGATGAATTTATCCATGTTTATTAATATGCATCATTACCAGCTAGTTCAGGGGTCTTCAAACTTGGCACTTTTAAGACTTGTGGACTTCAACCCCCAGAATTCCTCAGCCCTCAAGGCTGGTTTTTTTTTTCTCTTTAAGCTGCCTCAGGCCTGTCATGTGTCACAATGTTAAAATCCCAGACTGAAAGGCTCCGGCAATTACGAAAAGCTTCAGCTTTAAATTAAGCCAGTTTACCTTCAAAGAAAACTTTCTAAAAGCCACAGACAGACTTAAGTAAAGGGGATAAAACTAATTACATTTGTTTAAAGGGATTAAACCTTTCCTGTTGTCTTTTTTTCCCTTCCCCCACCCAAACCATGCTCTTTTATAGCCTCTACTCTCTTCCCCCCCTTTTTTATTCAGTTCACCTCCAGCTCCAGCTGCTTCTGGAAACATCAATCAGCTGGAGCCCATCATCTGGAGGCCTGTCAGCTCCTGGGGCTTCTGCCAAGCCCAGCCAGTCCTGCAGCTGCATCAGCCTCTCCTTCATGCTTGGCTCGCTTCGGCTCATTCCCCTCCCTTGCTACACTTGGCTAGCAATCACGTATCACCTGCCATGTGGCAAAGTATCACAAGTGGTACGCGTACCATGGGTTGAAAAGCCCTGCTCTAGAGTCAGACACGACTGGACAGGAAAACTTTTACCTTTACTTTACTATAATACTATGAAACACAGAATATAAAAATACCTTTACTATTAGACTAAAGTCAAAATAAAATCACAGCTCAAAACAATAGCTCATCTAAACAAGATTGTTTTAATTGTCTTATTTTTTGTGTGGGTGTGTATGTCTTTGAGTCAGTCTTGATTTATTGGCATGTCATTGAAGTACTCTTCAAGACTACAGTTTTCCCCTTTGTCTTCTTAGGGCTGAGAAAGAATGACTGGCTCAAGGTCATCCAACAAGTTTTGTGCCCGAGGTGGGACAAGAATTTAAAGAATTCATTTTCCCAGTTTCTAGCATGGCACCTTAAGGTAGCTCTCTTTAATTGTATTTAATTATTTTGGAATAGTTATAGCAGTGATGGCGAACCTTTTAGAGACTGAGTGCCCAAACTGCACTCCAAAACCCATTTATGCATCGTTGAGTGCTGGGTGGGTGTGGCCCATTGGGTGGGTGTGGCTGCAGTGATAACGGCAGACTGGGTGGGATTAAAAAGTTCAATCAATCAATTTCAACTTTGCAAGATCTTTTTTTCCCCCACGAGAATTGAAATTGATTGATTGAAGCTTTTTTTTTTTTTTGCACACGGCGGTGGAGGGCTAAAGCAAAAAGGTTTTATAAAACCCAGCTGAAGGCCTAGGACTGGGGTGACGGCGCTCATACCCACAGAAAGGGCTCAGAGTGCCACCTCTGACACCCGTGCCATAGGTTCACCACCACTGAGTTATAGTAATATTTACAAAACATACAATTCAAAATTCAAATTCAAATAAAATGGATAAGATAAGATAAAATAGCAATATAACAAGAAATTTCTATAATTAAAGGTAACATAAACTACAATAATAATGTAAATAAATAAATTGTACAACTAAAATACCAAAGTCCATGATGTAAAAATGCATTTGAAAACAAAATAATTACTACAACTTCAAAATCTGCATACTGAATCTGAAGTAATAAAAAAATTAGAAGTGATTATTCCTGGGAATTGTTTTGGTTTATTTATTCAAGTTTTTTTTTTTCAAATTCTCCAGATTGGGTCACACAGAAATTGTCTGGCCTTTGTGGATTGTCCTACAGAAGAACTATAGAAAATAGGACCAGATGGCACTTATATTTCTTGACGCACAAAAAGCTTTGATAACCTAAACTGGCAATTTATGTTTCAACAACTTCAAGAAATGGATTTTGGTGAAAATTTTAACAAAGCAATTCAAGCAATTTATAAGAAACAAACAGCAAAAATACTTTTAAATGGAGATTATACAGATGGATTTGAGATTTAAAAAGGCACTAGACAGGGATATCCACTGTCCCCCCTGTTATTTATCCTTTCATTAGAGGTACTGGCAAGAAATATCAGACAAGATACAGAAATTAAAGGTTTGGAGATTAAAGATCAGAAATATAAACTACAGGCCTTTCTGGATGACTAGGTTTTTATTTTAGAGGAGCCATTGGAAACAGCTGATAAACTTTTGCAGAAAATCAAGAAATTTGAAGAAGTGGCTGGTTTGAAAATAAATAGGGAAAAGACCAAAGTATTAACAAAAATCTTAACAGATAAACAGAAAATCCAACTTGCTAAAATGACAAACCTTCAAATAATAAAAAAAGTCAAATATTTGGGCATTTATTCAACTGCAAAATATGCTACATTAAAAGAAGATAATTATGAGAGATTAATGAAACAAATAAAAATAGATCTGGAAAGATGGGAAAATCTTCAATTATCACTTCTAGGAAGAATAGCGACAGTTAAGATGAACATTTTACCAAAACTAATTTTTCTATTCCAAACAGTTCCTGTTAAATTGCTAAAGATTTTTTTAATGATTTAAATGCAATGATTTTAAGATTTATATGGCAAAGAAAGAAAGCTAGAATCAAATGTAAATTGTTACAAGAATCTAAGGAGAGAGGGGGCTTTGGACTGACAGATTGGAGACTTTATTATCAAGCCACTATTCTTCTTTGGCTCAAAGAATGGATTGTATTGAGAAATAAAAGATTACTTTATCTAGAGGGACATGATCTTCAATTAGGTTGGCATGCTTTTATATGGTATGAGAAAACTAAAGCACATAAATACTTTCAAACCATGCGGTAAGAAACGTACTACTTTCAGAATGGGAGAAAATCAAAGATATATGAAAATACCTGTGTGGCTTTCAACAATGGAAGCATTTGCTTATCCAAACCTGATTAATTATGATAAACTGGTTAGTTATAAAGATATTTTGGACAAACAGGGAAAACCTAAGGACAGGCAAACTCTTCAACAACAAGGTATTGCTCCCTCTGATCTTCAGAGTCTGAAAAATATAAGCAAAATATTCTGCCTGGAAAATCATTTTCTGCCTATTTGATGTGAAATGAATTAACCATTTTCTAACAGTAATGTTTTATTTTTTTTTCTAATTAAAAATTAATGGTTTTAAATAATCTATTCCCTTTTCCACCCTCATGAAATAGAACTCAATACTATTTTTATTAAAAGATTTAAAGAAGTATTTTTATTTCTTATTCTCAGAACAGGACCAGAGGTGACAGATAAGATAAAGTCATCAATTTTGACATAAATCTGTGAACAACAGTACCTGAAGGAAAGAGAGGTTTCCACAGATATTATTAAGGAAATATGGATGGGAATATTAAAGAATATATGGATTTCTGAAATACACAATATAAGGCCACTAAATAAAAAATACATAACTGATGTCCAAAGATTAAGAATAGTAGCCACTGACCAAAGGTAATGACAGGTAGTTGCTAAAAGAGCTTTGTGTTTCCAGAGAATTTTGGTTGAGCATCCTCCTTATTTTCAGATTTCCTTTCTCTTTCTTTCTCTCTAAATTTGTGAAGTGAGGAAGAATAAAAGGAAAAATGTTGCTGGAGTGCTATCTATTCCAAATACTACATTGAACTGTATCTCCACCATTGTGCCTAACAAATGGCTTAACTAGCTCCTGAGCTCCTGGTCACTATTAAATTCCACTATCTTTGGCATTTAAAATGGCACATTGAGGTTCTGCCCCTTTTGGACCAAATTAAAACCATGATGTCCAAAGACTATTTCTGCTGTGAGTTTGTGAGTAATTATTACTAATCAAGAAATAAATCCCTTTACAGTTCCTTTGCTTTAAACAAGATAAATACTTTATATGCAACTTTATTCATTTCTTTCTCTTTATAATAATTTTCTATCTGTGTAATCTTCCCTGTGTAAATTTCTCTGTGGTTCAGTCAATAAAGAAACAAGAGTGAATGCTACTAGAGAAAGATTTCTGCTACTTCTTTTTAAGAATTTACTTACCTTCTCTATATAATATTCTTTTACTTCAGGTAGAATAGAGTCAAAGTCCCCACTGATATAATCAGGCAGAAAACTGAAAGGAAAATAATAATATTCAATCAGTTCTTTTTAATAAAAGCATTACATTTAAAAATATTAAATAGTAACAAAGAAGCAGAATAGAATAGTGGATGAGTGCCAAACCATTAAAATAGCAGCATCATTATCTAGAATTAATATCAGATTAATAGCTACACATTTCTAATTTAATTTTCTAATGAATTGTAACAATTTGCATAGATGCTGAGATAAGCTAAATTCATAGTTAGGAAGAGAGGAATAGTAACTGTAAGCAGGAAACAGATCAACTTGACCCAAGCTGATTTTCAAATGAAATTTTCAGTGAAACTGTAATGGATGGCTTGCTAGATAATTTGGAAGGCCTGAATACTAATCCTTTTGACCTCTTAGCAGCTTTTAATATTATTAAACATGATTATTTTTCTTGATAGTTTAACTAATTTGGAAGTAAAAGGCACTGCTTTCTTCCTATCTCTCAGATAGATTTCTGATGATATCACTTGGAGACAAAAGGAAAGAGCTCAACTTATTGTATGTGTTTCATGGCTCAATTTTATAAACAATGCCTTTTAGTATCAACTACTGGGGGGGGATGATCAGCAAATTTGGAGATGGATAAGGTAACAATCTTCAGGTGAAGTGTGGCTTCCTCAAACAACTGTCTGTAGTCAGTAATTAATTGCATGGAAGATAATAAATTTGTTAGAGAATTTTAATTTCTCTACTGGTGAAAAAATAAATCAGAAGCTTTCACAGTTGACTGCATTTAGCTGATTCAAAATAACTTCTTTATATTCATATAAAAATATTTACAATACCATACATTCTTCTTTACAGCAACATAGCTCAATTGAAGACTTCTTACAGAGAGATACAGAAACAAACCAGAGACTGGAAATCCAGCTCCTAACTCAATACTTTTTTGCACAGACTCAGTAGCACTTTCTTAACATTGGCTGACTGAGTTACCACATGACTCTTCCTGCTTATGAATATTCCAACACTCCTCCCTTCATGACAGGAAGAGACATCAGATCTATTAACTTAATACATTCTTTAATCATGAAAAACCTTGTGCCACTAACCTGGCCTTATACTGTACATCATTATTTGGCAATACCTTTTTCTTATATACCCACTTACAACCCACAGCTTTGGTTCCCTGTGGCAAAGTCACTGATTTAAATACTTCATGGTCTCCCATGGATTTCATCTCTTTATCCATGGCCTCCTTCCATCTTTCTTGTTCAGCTTTTGGTAATGCCAACACTTCTTTATAACTTCTTGGCTCATACCACACATTGCAAACCTTTACCTTGCTGGCAGAATACTGTCAGGCAGAATTCCTTTGTTACATCGCTCTGACCTACGTGGTATTAACTGCTCCTGTGTCTCAAGTCTTTTGGTTTCATGTCTTATTCAGCCTCTCCTCCCTGAATATTGACATCTTCAATAATCATTTTTTATCATTAGATGAGTTATTGTCATTAAATAGATCACCGTCACTAAGTGAGACATACCCAGAATTTGCATTAATTCTGTTCCAATTTTGTTCGGCAAAATTAGCAGACCTTGAAATTACAATTCTTTTACTTCCATCGCTAAAGCGATATCCTTTTGACCCTGGCTCATAGCCTACAAACCTGAGCTTTCTTGCCTTTTGCTGTCCCTTTCTTCTGATTGCTTTTGGAATATGTACCCATGCAGTACTTCCAAAAATTCTCAAATGTGCCAGTGATGGCTTTCTCCCATATAGAATGGCATATGGAGTATTATTAATGGAGGAACTCCACAGCCTGTTACCTATATAATTTGCAATCAATATGGCTTCTCCCCAATATGACCTGCTCATACCAGAATCCTCTAATAATGAATCTTCCATTGTTTGCAAAACACCATTCCTTCTTTCAGCTACACCATCTTCTGCTGCTATGTAAGAATTTGTACGTCTGTGTCTTATCCCCAACTGCCCCAACCATTGTTGGAATTTAGTTGACATAAATTCAGTACCTCTGTCAGTTTGCAACTGACACACTTGTTGTCTGTACCTTCTCTCTACAAAACTTACCCACTGTTTGAATTGTTGTAGCACCTCTGTCTTTGCTCTAAGTAAGTAGCAAAACGAATACCTACTATATTCATCAACAATTACCAGTGCATGTCTTGCTCCTCCCAAACTGGCTTGCATAGGTCCCACCAGATCTGCATGGACCAGCTCTAGAACTCTTTTTGTTTGTCTTGTGCTACATTTACTAACTGGGAATGCCTTTGACTTTGATGCTTTGCATACTGCACAGTTCAAATATGTTTTGCATCCCTTCAAAATTAGCCCTTCTCCAAAATCTTACATTTGCTGCAAAACTTTGAAGCTTGCATGGCCAACTCTTCTATGTAGAAGATGAACACATGAATCATGCTCTGCAACATTCTTAAATATATGGGAACATTGAACCTTTTGTCCCTGCAATACATATAGATTATCTTCCTTTATGCCTTCTGCACAAATATTCCCATTCCTTTTGATGAGACACTTCCCATTTACAAAAATGATCTCGAAACCTTGGTTGTCTAAATTAGACACACTTAACAAATTATGTTCCATCTCAGGTACACAAAGCACATTGGTAAACTTTGATTCCAAATATGGAATTTTTACATCTCCTTTTCCGATGACTTTTGCTTTCTGGCCATTTGCCAAAGCCACAGCTTCTTGTGCTACTGGAACAAACCTGCAAAATAATTCAGAGTCATTAACAATTGTTTGACTTGCCCCATTATCTATTAGCCACTTGTCTCTGTTGTTACTATTGCAAACTTTTGCAACACCAAAATGTTCCTTTTGCAAATCAGTCCTTTTTCCTTGCACAAATGTCCTTTGCTGCAAATTGTTTCTCTGCAAACAGTTCCTTTTCAAATGTGTCTTTTCTCCACAAATGTAGCAATTCTTTTCTTGCTTAGCTCTCTGCCTGCAAAATGTTTCTTTTGTTGCAACTTGGTCCGGATCCAATCTGCTTGTTTCTTCTCCTCCGGAGACTTGCAGTCTGGACCCCCTCCTCAGGAATTTCTCCTCCTCATGGCTGCTTCTAAAATGGCGCTTTTCTTGTTCATTAAGCAAACATGCCTTTAAAGCCTCAAAATTTAGTTCTTGCTCTTCTTTACACTCAAATATTGCAGAAACTGTGTCCCAGGTTTTATCTAAACTGTTCAACACCAATAAAACCTTCTGGGACTCAGGGAATTTAATCCCACATTGTTCTAAGTCCAAAAATAAACTTTGCATTTTATTTAAATGCTGTTCCTGGTTGCAAACAGGCCCTGTAAAGTTTTCTTCACAATTGCACTATATTGCATGCAGAAACATTCACATGCACAGCTCTCAACTTCAACCAAATCTCCTTTGCAATCTTTAAATTTGCAACATTTAGAAATTGTTCATCATCTAAATTCAAGATGAGATAAGCCATTGCTTGATCATGACTTTTCTGATCAGCAGCTGCAAATACTTCTGGTGGATTTTCTACAATATACCACAGCTCTTTAGCTTTCAACAAACATTCCATTTTTGCAGCCCATATAATGTAATTCTTCTGGCCCAAATGAGGCACACAGCTTTCCTTAAATTCCATTGCAGCCATTCTGCTAATTCTGCCTTGTTCTTATACTTTCTAAACACAGGCAATTTCTTCCAGCTTTAAATTACAATGTAGTCCTTAGTAAGCTCTGGGCCCATAACCTGTTAGAGAATTTTAATTTCTCTATTGGTGAAAAAATAAATCAGAAGCTCTCACAGTTGACTGCATTTAGCTGATTCAAAATAACTTCTTTATATTCATATAAAAATATTTACAATACCATACATTCTTCTTTACAGCAACATAACTCAATTGAAGACTTCTTACAGAGAGATACAGAGACAAACCAGAGACTGGAAATCCAGCTCCTAATTCAATACTCTTTTGCACAGACTCAGTAGCACTTTCTTAACATTGGCTGACTGAGTTACCACATGACTCTTCCTGCTCATGAATATTCCAACAAAATTGAAAGTGAATCATAGAAAGATGGAGGTACTAGTTATAAGGGGACCAATAGACAACAGAGATGCTACATTTTTCTCTTCTGAATGCTGTCACAGCTTCACAAAAGAAGCAATAGACAGGACTGAAACAGTGATCAACATAATCACTTTTCAGATTCAGCTACAGACCTGGAATTTCCTGGAAGAAAATTATCTGTGCTGCTAGTATCTTTTAACATGCTTTGCATGGAACTCTGGCTCCAATTCAGAAATGTTAATTACTAAAGAATTCGGTAACTAGATTGGTTTCTGGAAGAAATCCAAATTACCATATTATAACATTATTGAAAAAAATTGCAATTATTGCCAATTTGTTTCCAAATTCAAAGGGTTGATTATGACTCTGAAGCACTACAGACCTTGGGACCATGCTTCTCTCTCTATGATTCCCCCCCAGCACCAGTTACTGAAGTTCACCTACAACTGCTGAATATTAATCTTGTGGCAACTTGGAAGTTGCTGTAAATATACATAGGAGCTGCCATAGTTTTATGCATTATCTGTTGAGCTGACCCCTTTAAAAGGTCCTAACACACCATTTTGAATAGTGGTGGAAGCCATAAGTAAATGGCTTCCATAATTTCCAATACTTCTGGTTTAAATTCATTTATTTTAATGCAAGTCACTGAGACAACTTGTATTGAGCATTATACTAAGTTTAATAATAAATATATACTGCCTTTCCTTGCAAATATTAATGATATTAATTATAACTTGTATTGTAGTACTTTTTTAAAATGCTGCATTTCTTCAGTGTAGACGTCATTCAAAATCTGCATATCCTCCTTTAATTCACAGCATCTATGCTGGTTTACCCAAGAGAAGGTTAAAAAAAAATCAATTTTGTGAGGCATTTTGTCCATGCATTGAATATTGTGAAATGGCATAACCTACTCTTTACACAATGAATTATCAAAAAGTATAGGAAATTTCTA